TATGTAAGATCATTTTTCTTGAGTAATTGGTGTTTATTGCATGTAACATTTAAGATCATTTTTCTTGAAATATTAAGGTTTATTGCATGTTACATTATTATATTTAAAATTGTTTTTCTTGAAATTGAGAAAAATAAAAAATAGTTGATGAATGTAATAAAGATACAAGGGAGCGAGGAAAGGTAGGCCAGGTAGAGTAATATGAAAGTAGTGTGGGGAAGGGCATTAAAAGGGATTGAAGTGGGCAAAATAGGAGCTCTTAAGTGTGTTAAAGGAAAACAACTGAGACCGATGATGCTCTCATTAGGCAGAGAAATTATAATACTCAGAAGTTACTGAAAAACTGTTGACAAGAAATTGTATGACAGTATAAAATAGAAAATCCTTAGACTCAAGATTTAGTCATCTTTTTAAAAAAATTGCCAACTCATTGCTGCCATCTAGTGACACTTTGTCTTTAAAATTCTTCAAAGAAAGGTAGGAAAGAGCATATTAGGTATGACAGTTGAATCTAATTTGAATTAAATGTAGAGTCTAGGTTTTAGGGGATAGTAATAGAGAAAATTATAAGGTAGGGTTCTGAATGTCCTACTCTGAGGTAAGTTAATATTTTTTTTGTTTTCTAGTTAGTATGACGACATCTAATAAGCCATACTTGGTGCCATATTTCATTTCTTTTTTGTACCAACATATTATGTGATATAAGTAAGTATAGTGTGATTAATCTATGTGAATAGAATGCACAGGTAGAGAACTGGTTGAAATGCCCATTAGAAACATCTTGTGGCTTGTTTACTTATCCCCTCTACCCCCTGTGTTTTGCAGTAAATATTCCCAGATATGATACTGAACACAGTCTGACTGGCACTGTTTTGTTACGTATCATCCGTTCTATCCTTTCCACGAAAGATGGAGTTCTAGTGGCCATTACATAAAGGCAAGGGAGCTGAAGGCTTGATTCCAATTATAAATTGATTTGGCTTAGCTCCCAGCAAATTCCAGAACCTTTATAACCTGTATTTCTGGACCATTTGAACCCTGTGTTTCCTTATAATTGTCAGATAACTCAATCTGCTTTTTTTTTTTTTTTTACCTTCCTATGTACTTATTCTCTGCAGAATTTTCTTGACATTTAATGTGAACTTAAAGAGAAAAGGGCTATATGTCCTGGCCAGTTTAGCTCAGTGATTGAGCGTCAACCTATATGAACCAGGAGATCACATTGAAAGCTAATCAGGTGACCTTAGCACAGCTTTGAAACTGAAATCATTGTATTATTTTTTCATTAACATTTTTATATTAAAGAAAATGGGAAATAAAATCCTGTCCTAAAATTCAGAGATGACAATCACTGTTAGTACCTTTTTTATTTATATTCTTGGATGTCTTTCTACCAGTCTTTTCAAATAGGATTCATTGAGAGAATTAAACCATAAGGCAGCCACTTGCCACAGGACACTAGTGTGTCACAAGAATTTTTAAAACATGTAATACCTGACTATTTAGTCAGGGTTACTGACCTCTTTTTTTCCTGAGGCTCCCAAGTAAAAAATACGGTAACAGCCAATACAACAGCCATCCAATGTGACTGAATCAAAATTACACATTTTTTTGGTATTTCTTGATGTGCTGCAGAATTTTAGTAATTATGTGTGCCATGAGATATAAAATATGTTGAAAAATCATTGCCCTAACTCATTTTTTATATGTGATGCATTCTCTTCTATATGTAGCATCCTTGTAAAAATTGAGGAAATAGTCATTTAAATCCATTTCTGTTCTGTGATTCAAAGGAGTATATGTAAAAGGGACATAAATCTAATGTCTTTTTGGTGTTTTCAGCTCATGTTCAGTATGCTGCTGGCATGTAGAACCATCCTTTTCTCTTTAGTAGGTTTTTTGGTTTTGTTTTTGTTAAGCCTCCCCCGAGGATTATTTTTTCCATTGGAGGGGGGCGGGTAGAGAGAGAGAAACATTGACGTGAGAGAGAGAGAGAGAGAGAATTGCCTCCCAACCGGACCAGGGAACAAATCTGCAAACCCAGTTATGTGCCCTTAACTGGGAATCTAACTCAAAACCCTTAGGTGCACAAGCTGAACACTGAGTGAGCCAAACTGGTCAGGGCTGGGTTTATGTTTATTCTTATTGTTGTTCTAAAGATTTCTGGCCTTCACACTTAGATTTGAAAGGCTATGGGTGATTCTCAGTGGCTATTGTTAGGTAAATTTCCATTGTTTAGTCTAGAAAAAAATGGTTAAGAACTACTGTTTATATAAGAATATAATTTATAAACCAAAATAAAATAGATTGTGTCCTGAATTTCAGAAATGCTAGAAGGGAAAAGCAGTTGTTACATCCTTTTATATATATACTAAAGGCACAGTGCATGAAATTAGTGCACGGGGGTGGGGGGGGGGTTCATCAGCCCAGTCTGCATACTCTCCAATCCGGGACCCCTTGGGGGATGTCCGACTGCTGGTTTAGGCCTGATTGGCAGTCGGACATCCCTCTCACAATCCTGGACCGCTGGCTCCTAATCGCTCACCTGAGTGCCTGGTTGCCCCTAATTGCCCCCTCTCCTGGCCTGGTTGCCCCGAACTGCCCCCACCCTGCTGGCCTGGTCACCCCCAACTGCCCCCCCTGCCAGCCTGGTCGCCCCACCTAGCCTGCTGTTCAGTCGTTTGGTCATCCCTCACTAACCCCCCTGCTGGCCTGGTTGCCCCACGCAGCCTGCCCCCCGCTGGCCTGGTCGCCCCACCCAACCTGCTGTTCATTCATTTGGTCTTCTCTCACTAACCCCCCTGCCAGCCTGGTAACTCCACGCAGCCCGTTGTTCAGTCGTTTGGTTGTCCCTCACTAAGCCCCCCTGCTGGCCTGGTCATAGGCAGCCATCTTGTGAGGGTTAATTTGCATACTACCTCTTTATGATATAGGATGTATATATATGTTTATTGGTTTCAGAGAGGAAGGGAGTGGGGGAGAGAGAGAGAAACATCAATGATGAGAGAGAACCATTGATCGGCTGCCTTCTGCATGCCCACCCACTGGGGATCGAGCCTGCAACCCGGGCATGTGCCCTTGATGAGAATTGAAACCAGGACCCTTCAGTCCGCAGACCAAGGCTCTGTCCATTGAGCCAAACCTGCTAGGGCAGTTGTTACATCAGTACTGCTTGTGAAATGACTAGGTATTTTATGGGTCAGAATTGTGGTGATCATGTATAAATGTTATATATTACCTGTTTTATTAAATGTGTGTATATAATAAGACATTTTAACATAAATCCATGAGAATTAGTTTGTCATGTTTCTCTTGAGTATTGGAAAAATATCATTAGACATTGGTACCTTTAAATTAATCTTTACAGTGTTACTCTAAATCAGCGGTTCTCAACCTGTGGGTCGCGACCCCTTTGGGGGTCGAACGACCCTTTCACAGAGGTCGCTTAAGACCATTGGAAGCCACATACATAACATATTGTTTTTGTGATTAAGCACTATGCTTTAATTATGTTCAATTTGTAACAATGAAATTGGGGATCACCACAACATGAGGAACTGTATTAAAGGGTTGCGGCATTAGGAAGGTTGAGAACCACTGCTCTAAATCGAAAGTGGGTCCATCATAACTGGTGGTTGGAATGGCAACTGGCAGCAGACTGATACAAAAGCTAAAAGAATGCCAAACATTAAGATTGAATCTAACATACATAAAGATAGTTTTGAAATAGTCTGAGGAAGCCTTAGTTCCTGTCGTGGTCTTTTGATTTCACCCAGTTTATCATCACCATCTAGTAGTATTAAATGTCCCAACTATATTTGGTAGGTTATCACATAAGGAAGTAAAAGAGCCATCGAATTCTATAAAAAGGTATTATACTTAAGGTATCTGGTATATTGTAAGTCAATTGAGGTACCTAGAAATAGGTATTTCCAGAGTGAATGAATTGTTTCTGTTTATTGCCTTTGTATAATAAGGTTAATTATACTTGAAGGGCAGGTTGTCAATTGTCCACATTAATCTAGCTAAAGAGTGGTTTATGGGCAGAATTTCGAGGGTCCTCCCAAGCAAATCCCTATTTTCTTTTTAAAAAAAAATAAATTTTCATTGCTTTCAGAGAGGAAGGGTGAGGGGAGAGAGAAACATCAGTGATGAAAATCATTGATCAGCTGGCTCCTGTACAACCCCTACTGGGGATTGAGCCTGCAACCCAGGCATGTGCCCTTGTCTGGAATTGAACCTGGGACCCTTTCCTCTGTAGGCTGATGCTCTATTCACTGAGCCAAATCAGCTATGGCCCTATTTTGTATTTTTAAAATTTTTTTTTTTTTTTTTTTTTTTATTGATTTCAGAGAGGAAGGGAGAGGGAGAGAAATAGAAACCTCAGTGATGAGAATCATTGATCGGCTGACTCCTGCACAGCCCCTACTGGGGATCAAGCCTATATCCTGGGCATGTGCCCTTGACTGGAGTCAAACCTGGGACCCTTTAGTCTGCAGGCTGACACTCCATCCACTTGAGCCATACTGGCTAGGGCTCGAGGGCTTTTTTATATCTTTGGGACAGTGAGTGACTCATTTTAGTAAAAGCAATGTGCAAGAATATGGTAGATGGCAAGCAATGGCTAGGTTAGCATGACTGAGAAGGTGAAAAATGAGTCGAAATTTGTAGTAGATGACTTAGGGGTTTCTAATTTGCATGAGGACTTTATAACGGGGGCCACTTGGAATTAAATGTTGAGGAAGATTGTGTTGCCAATTGTCTGTGGAGGGGGAAAAATAATCTGGAATACACTAGAGAAGGGGAAGTTGAATTTCTATAAGGATATATTCTTGGCCTCTAATCTCTGAAGAGTAATAGACTTGCTGTTGTGAGATCCGTGGAGGTTGACTGGTACTCTAGGTAGTCACAGTGGTTTAAAATAAAAGTAGATGAAGTTTTATCAAGGAATACTTTGTTTTTAGCATCTTTTCACCTGAATGCATTTTTTTTTCTTCTAGTTTTGGCTTTGTGAGGAACCTTAATCATCAAAGACAATGGCCAGCAATGTTACCAACAAGACAGATCCTCGCTCCATGAACTCCCGTGTATTCATTGGGAATCTCAATACTCTTGTGGTGAAGAAATCTGATGTGGAGGCTATCTTCTCAAAGTATGGCAAAATTGTGGGTTGCTCTGTTCATAAGGGCTTTGCCTTCGTTCAATATGTTAATGAGAGAAATGCCCGGGCTGCGGTGGCAGGAGAAGATGGCAGAATGATCGCTGGCCAGGTTTTAGGTAAGATATGAGTTGAATTAATTTTTTCATTGATTATGTAATTCAGATATGAGAATTTTTCTGTTAGTGTTTTTTTGTTCTTTATCATTTTAATAGTCTGAGATATTCTGGGTTTGATAATTGACTTCATCGGCATAATAAAAATCTTAGGTTTATAGATATATTAGGCTAAATACAGACTTTTATTATGCCATTAGTAGTTGAGACTAGATAACCCTCAGTTAGTAGTCTTGGGTGAGGTACAGGAGGTAGGAATGATATTTCATAAGGTAATAAATGGCTTGGGTACTGCTCACAGTGGATTGGTGGAATACAATATAGATTAGTCACTCATGGGCTGCAGAATCAGATTACTTGGCTCTGCATTGGGGCTTTACACTGTGTTAGGCAGCTTACTTAGCTTGGCTGAGCCCTAAATTTTCTCATCTCTTCAAATGGAGATAATGGTATTTCGGTTTATTACTTAGTCTTACCTGAGGTGTTAGTATTTGAGGGTGTCAAGAGGATTTAGATAAATTGATTAATTGAGATAATTCATGAAAGCGTAGAACTCCAGCATGTTAGCTAGAGACGCTTTAAACGTGTTAATTCTTCCGTACCTTTCACATTTAAAAATTTTATGACATTCAATTTGTTGAAGCCTTTAGTATTTTCCTACACTCTGAACTGATTGCTTCCTTATCATTAATTTTTTTCTACCCCTATGATCTGGAGCAGTGCTGGTTCAATAGAAATAGAATGTAAGCCATGTATGTGATTTTTAAATTTGTAAATAACTGTATTAAAAGAAGTAACAAAAGGGTGACTTTAATTTTACTTAGTATACCCAAAATATTGTCATTTTGATATGTAATCATTTAAAAATATGATTTGGGGTATTTTATCCCAAGTCTTTGAAATCCATTGCGTATGCATACTTATAAAACATCTGAATTCAGATATAATACATTTCTTTTTAAAAATTTGAGTTGTATTGATTTTAGAGGAGAGAGAGAAATAATCGATTTTGTTGTTTCATTTATTTATACATTCATTGGTTGCTTTATAGTGTATCACATCTGATGGCCTACCACAGTTGTCCATTTTTGGTGATATTAAGAAAATTTGTGGGTTCAAGTTTTACATCCTGACCTATCTGTGATAAAGTTCCCCATTGGTTTCTCACCTTATGGTGGTGATATTTTTAGGTAATTTATTAGAGGTTCAAAAGAGTGGGTTTTCTAATTTCTTCTGCACTTATTAACTGGAATTTTTCTAAACAACAACTTCTTGTTAATAGTTGATTTTTCTGAAATACTGTTCACATTGGAAAGGCAGAATAAATCTTTTCAAATTTTGGTGTAATTGATCCTCTAGCAACCTTTAAATATAGCCATTGCTTTTGTTTACTATTATTTTGAATTCATATATTTAAATAGCTGTGTTTTTAGTCCCATTGCAATTTTTTAAACTGATTTTTAGAGAGAGGAAGGGAGAGAAAAGAGAAAGAGAGAGAAACATTGCTTTGTTGATTCTTGTATGTGCTTTGACCGAGAATTGAATCCACAAACTTGGCTTATTGGGATGCACTCTAACCACCTGAGCTAGCTGGTTAGAGCCACAAATCATTCTTTAGAACTCAAAATAATTTCTTTTAGCCTAGTGGATCACCTTCAAGTTGGTCCCTATGTCATTGTGACCTTCCTAATGGAATAATGTGTTGTTGCCTCATTTTCTGGCACCAGAAGATATTCCAGGTCATCTGGTATATAGCTTGACATAAACTTGGAATTTGCCCTTTTGCCCAGGAGCCTTGGCTGCTTTTAACGAGAATTATTTAGAATCCACTGTCTGTATATCAAGAGTTAGTGTTATGAATTTTAATTGCTTTTGACTAGATTCAGTGGGTAGATTAGGAGGAACTTATGCTTTTTAAGAATAGAAAAAATACAATTTTATGTGTACTTTGTGCTACAGTTTTAAAATAACCATACTTGTATTTTTACTAAAATTAATATTATGAAATGCAATTTTATTAATATATAGTCTATTGAATATTGATTCAGTACTATAGTTTGGAATCACATGAAATCTATAAAGTTGTCTAATCCACTTTGATAAAGTTTAGTTCTTTCGTTTCATTTTTTTTTACATTTAAAGATTGCTTTTAAAAATATTTTTATTGATTTCAGGGAGAAAGGGAGAGAAATAGAAACATCAATCAATGATGCGAATCATTGATTGGCTGCCTCCTGCACACCCCCTTCTGGGGATCAAGCCTGCAATCCAGGCATGTGCCCTTGCCCTTGCCCTTGACCAGAAAATCGAACCTGGGACCCTACAGTCCACAGGCTGACACTCAATTCACTGAGCCAAAATGGCTAGGGCAAAATTGCTTTTTAAGAAATGTAATTCTATCTTGCCCTGGCCAGTGTAGCTCAGTTAGTTGAGCATTATCCAATGAACTAAAAGGTCCCTGGTTGGATTCCAGGTCAGTGGACATGCCTGAGTTACAGACTCAATCCCCAATAGGGGCCATGAAGGGGGCAGCCAATCCATGTTTCTTTGTCATATATGTTTCTCTCTCATACATGTTTCTCTCTCCTACTCTCCCTTTCTCTCACTCTCAAAATCAATAGAATATACATTTTTAAAAAATTTAACTCCTATCTTTAATGTTATAAATGTCTATAGTCAAAACTGTAAAAGGGCAAGGCTTTTATAAACATTAGATATAAAAAATTAGAAATGAATTTAGTGGACCAAGAACTGAAGATTATTCATGAATTGTCTATTTAGCAAAAAGACAGTGTACTAAATGTCTGTTTTTTAATTGGTTATTTGATGACCTGAGTTTTAAAAGAGCTACAATGGCCTTTTTTTTTTTTTTTTAATATATTTTATTGATTTTTTTACAGAGAGGAAGGGAGAGGGATAGAGAGTTAGAAACATCGATGAGAGAGAAACATCGATCAGTTGCCTCCTGCACACCTCCTACTGGGGATGTGCCTGCAACCAGAGTACATGCCATTGACCAGAATCGAACCTGGGACCCTTCAGTCCGCAGGCCGATGCTCTATCCACTGAGCCAAACCAGTTAGGGCTACAATGGCCTCTTGTTAATGAGGAGCACATGAACTCTTGTTTGGTAGGCAGTGGATGGACAGGGTAAGTAGTTGGCTGCTAGAATGGGTGTTTTAAATATTTACATTTTATATGGAAACTAGAGGCCCAGTGCATGAAATTCGTGCACGGGTAAGGTCCCTAGTGGCTGCCTGCGGGGCCTTCCTTTGTGCCGTGCTGCCCCCTGGTCGTTATTGCACATTATAGCGAGCAATCGAACTCCCAGACAGGACACAAGTGAAAAAAATGGGTGTTCTGAATGGTAAGCGTTTCATTGAAGTAGAAGCTGAGTGTGGAAGGTACCAAAGACAAACTTAACGTGTTATAAATAATGAAAACTTTTTTGGTACAGAAGCAATGGAAGATTAAAAGTTCCAGCCTTATAAAAATTCTTGAGTGTTTATATCACAAGGAAAGATGAGTTACAGTGTTAGATCTTTGTGGATTTATATGACTTACGGACATTTTTAAAATCCCAACAGTGTTGTCACTAAAATTTTTGTTTTTGTTTTTTCAGATATTAATCTGGCTGCAGAGCCAAAAGTGAACCGAGGAAAAGCAGGTGTGAAACGATCTGCAGCGGAGATGTACGGGTCAGTACCAGAACACCCTTCTCCGTCCCCTCTACTCAGGTCCGGAACTTTATTATTTATAACTCCATTGTGTCCATCAGTGGGCATATTCTCTATCTGTTTTGCTGGATATGGGAGGGCTAACTGTAGTATGTTTTATCTGTGTCAAAGTAATGCTTTATTAATTTTTTTGTTAATATACTTCCTTTTCACCCATTTCCCAGAAAATTATTAGAATTCCCTGAGATTTTGGCTATTAAAGAGTACTTTGGTATTTAGCATAAATTATAAAATTCTTCAAGAGGAGTTGAGCTTCTCAGGAGCTGAGGAGTAAGAAAGGGAAGATGGCCTAAGAATGTTTAGTTTACTATTGTAATTTTCAGTGTTCTTATTTTGGCTATTATGTAGTGCGTTGAAATTTCAGCAAAACTTTCACCTGAATTTGAATTTGTCCACTGCATGTTCAGTGGCCTAAGGTGCTTAGAATTTAGTGATGTTAATTGAATGATGATTGGGAGTTGTTCCATGCTGATCTGTTGATCTGTTTGTTGTGGTTGGTTTGGCATGGGCTTTGGGGGTTTTTTCCCCTATCTGCTGTTGTGAATTGACATCAATGGCTTCAAATTAATGCTCTTTGGTATTTATTTTTCAGCTCCTCTTTTGATTTGGACTATGACTTTCAACGGGATTATTATGACAGGTATGTTAAAAGTGTTTTGTCTATCTTGATAAAAAGCACCTAGTGAGAATCATTTTGTTTTTTCTATTTTGTAGTAACGAACAACATAAACATATTTTCAAACAAAGTCTCTTCTTTCTGCGAAAAAAAAACAAAATGAAAAATGCTTTTCTGTAAATTGAGGTAGACTAGTAAGGTGACATTTCTATAGATTTCAAAGAATCAGCTTATATATCTTCAGGGCATATTGGGACATGTCCAATATTTTCTGGACTAAGGTTTTTCTTGAAACACGTCAGTTTTCTTTTTGTTTTAATTTGTATGCCAAATAAAAGGACTTACTGACTTACCTAATGATGAAATGATGCTTAAATAGCAGTTACATGTTTCTTCATTATTTCCCTATGGCATACTTGCCACTTGGCTTTGCATTGTATGGGGTTATAGTAAAATTTAAAAAATTATTTCTAACCTTAAATATTGTACAGTGAACTTTAAGCAAATCAACTAATACAAAATAGGCTATAATCAGTATATATAATGAATTAACAATACAGATTGCTTTGGGAGTTAATGTTAGAGTGTTAAGATTTATATTATAGATTAGGAATCATGGTGATACAGTTCTAATAGGTAAGGGGGTTGGCCCGGCCATTGTTGCTCAGTGTTGAGCGTCAAACCATGAACCAGGAGGTCATTGTTCGATTCCCAGTCAGGGTACATGCCTGGGCTGCAGGCTGGATCCCCAGTGGAGGCTGCCAATCAATGATTATCTCTCAGTATTGATGTTTCTCTCCCTCTCTCGTCCTCTCTCTGAAATCAATGAATGAATGAAAGATAAGGAGGTTGGAATAATGATTTCTGCTTGTGCTTTTAGAACAGCATTAGTATTGTTGGAGATTCCTAAGAAATAAAATTGAAAGATGGTATGGGTAGGGATAGGTTATGGGTGGCTTTTATTTTTAATTTTATTTTGTTCTATTTTTTCCATCACCTTTTATCTCCTCTATGCCCTCTTCTACATCCAGCTGATAATAGGAATTAATTATTGGGGATTGGCATGATATGCAGAAAGTATTGGTATTATATTGGCATTCAGATAATTTCATGAATTATTAACACGTTAAGCACCATGTCAGTCACCGGTGACTGACATTATACTTTCCGTTTGGACCTCGTCAGTCTCCAGCCACGAGCATATCGGTGAAATTGGATATCACGCACTAAACCGAAAGGAAGACAAATCAGGCTTGGTGCTTAATGTGTTAAGGAAAAATTAGATATATTTGGTTTGGTACTTTTTAAGTTATGCATTATATGGTAGTATTTGACCATACTCATACATGTACTTGATAAATAAGTGTAAGTTTTGCCTTTGTGTTTGAGAAATACCATGTAGACTATGGTAGCTAATTATTAAAAGGCAAAGGAGTAAGACTGGAAAAATTGTTTTGGATCTACATCATAAAAATCCTTGAATGCTATAAGGTTGTATGATTTGAGTCTCATTCATGCATCATCAAATGATTATTTCATTTGTCTTGAGAGATTTCTTCAGATTTTTATCTTTGAACACATTTTGAAAAATAATGATTTTTCTACTTCAAAAATATAAAAATGGCAGATCTTAGTTGGGAGAACAGATCTGGGAAAACTTGGTCACTGATAGAGTTACTTGAAGGTCCTGAAATTTTGTGAATAACTGAATTTGTCTGAAGCAGTTATTCTTTATCCACTACCATCCCACACATAGGAATCTCTTCACCACATTTAAAAAATACTCATGCCCAACTATATCTGTAGTGATTTTTATACAGCTGGTTTAGGTAGACTCTTTATTGGTGTGTTTTAAAGCTTCCAAGGAATTCTAAAGTCCAGGGAGGGTTGAGAATCATTGATAACATAGAACAAGGAAGTAATTTTATTTCTGTGACTTTTACCCTATTTCTCTGTCATGACACCTTTTAGAAAAAATTTAATACACATTTTATGGATACAATTTCTGGGGTATTATGAACTCTTACTAGGTAAGAACTTTTCTAAATTGTATGTATAAAATTCAGACAGCGTAACCCTACCTTTATGAGAATAGTCTTCTGAAGTTTTACTTTAGTTGTCTTGGTAAGGCAGCAAAACTTTGAACGTCCCTATCATCTCACCCTGTAAATACAGGGTGTCCCCCCAAAACGTATATACACTTGGAATTATTCCAGTGGGTTAAATCGCTAAAGAAGCATCAATCAACGTATCAGCTGTTAAAGTGTGTGTACATTTTTGGGGGACAATCCAGCATGTTTGGAAAAATTGTTTTAAGTGAGGAATTTCACAAAACTTAATAAAAAGAGATACAGACAGCAAGGAATAGTGAAGAAGTTTAAATGTTTGCAGAAATATCTATTTAGTCCTAAAAATTGATGGCAACACACTGTTGGCTTCTTCGTTTTTAAAGAGGCAAAATAATACCTTTAGGTACTCTTTACTAATGTATTGCTTGATGATATGATGTGACAGTTAAAAGTAATGTCTTCCCCTTTTCCATTCTTTCCATTCTAAGTAAGTAATAGCTACTAAAGAGCTGGTCAAGTATAGTACTAAGTTCTGTGATGGGAAAATGAACAGGCTTAGTGAAGAATGGAGAAAACTCAGGAAAATGGTATTAGCTTTCACTCAGAAGTTCTGAATATACTTTATTTGTAAGGTTAAAATATTTGTTATTATCCTCTATGCAGATAATCTTAGCAACAGCCCCATGGCTAGAAAAGAGGAATTGGAGTCAGGGAAAGGTGCAGGTAGTTACCATTGTAATTGTTGAAATTGGAGGTCTTGGTGAGATTTATTGGGTTAAAGTTATACAAGTAGATGCTTTGTGGAAGAGAAGAATAGAGTATAGTTGAGATTCTCTCTTTTATGACTAGGATTATATGATTAAAGGTTACATGAAGGGAGGTCAGGCAATTTTGTTGATCTCTTACTCTACAGATCTTTTCCAGCAAGACGTATTGATGAAAGGTAAAGAAAAAGTTTGTACAGTGGTGGGAGAGATTTCATTGAATTGCAAGATGGGTGAAAGAAGCTAACCATATATTCCTTAAGCTAATACTTGAGCTCTTATTTTGTTCTAGTCTCACAAAGTTTTAGATTTTGGATTAACTCAATTTTATTGGGGTTAGAAGAGCTATCATCTTTATTATTATTATTGATTTCAGAGAGGAAAGAACAGAGAGAGAGAAACATCAATGATAAGAATCATTGATCGGATGCCTCCTGCTCGCCCCCTACTGGGAATCGAGCCCGCAACCAAGGTATATGCCCTTGACCATAATCAAACCCGGGACCCTTCAGTCCACAGGCTGGCGCTCTATCCACTGTGCCAAACCAACTAGGGCAAAAGCTATTATCTTGCCTCCCTCCCGTTTCTTTCATTTTTTAAAATATTCCTGAGCAATGCTACACCTGCTTGGAAAGGCATGTGATTAAGAGAGCAAGAGGATTCTTGGCTACTTGGGAAAGCTAAGAGATGCCTCTTTATGTGTCACCTAAGGTGACATTTTAGATAAGAAAGTTTGCATTTGCTTAGATCCCCTCTGTCGGTTGTATCTTTCTTGTGTGGACCTGATTATGTTATAGTTACTAGGAGGATTTTAAATATATATCATTGATCAGCTGCCTCCTGATCAAAGGGACTGAGCCCACAACCTGGGCATGTGCCCTGAACCAGGAATCAAACTATGACCTCTGATTCATAGGTTAACGCTCAAACACTGAGCTACAATGGCTGGGATAATTTATTGTTTTATAAGTTGCAGTTGTTTGGTCTTGCTGACTTAATTTAGTTGTGAAGGAATTCTGTCTTCTTCTTATCCAATAGGATGTACAGTTACCCAGCACGTGTTCCTCCTCCTCCTCCTATTGCTCGGGCTGTGGTGCCCTCAAAACGCCAACATGTATCAGGAAACACATCACGAAGGGGCAAAAGTGGCTTCAATTCTAAGAGTGGACAACGAGGATCTTCTTCCAAGTCTGCAAAGTGTATGTATTATTGCAGCTTCGTGGTATTTATTCTGTGTTGAAATAGTGAAATTAATGCTGCTAATAATTTCAGTTTTTGTACAAAGCCTTTGCATAATAAAAGTAATAAAAGAGGAGAATATAATGATTAAGGGACCAATTCTAGATTGCCTTCTATCCTTAAGACCCTGGTAATTTGAATACTTTAGGGAGTTGAGGCACCTGTTAAATTTGTGTAATATGTGTCAGTAAAACTGTACAGAGAAAGTGCTTTAAAAAGGAATTGAAGTCTTAGCAGGTCCACAAAAGTCAGAATGCTACTGGTAGTGGAGTAAGCACATAAAGGAGTTTTCCTTTACCAGCTACAAGATTGAAGGTCCCCATTACTGAGACGATCTGATACTAATGCCATTTCTCCCTAGGGATTTCCTGTTGGCTACTAGAGTATAGTATAGTAAGAATGTTTTTGATAACTTGTAGCTTCTGGTATTTCGATTCTCATCTAAGGTTTTATTTATTTTAAAAGTGAAAGGAGATGACCTTCAGGCCATTAAGAAGGAATTGACCCAGATAAAACAAAAAGTGGATTATCTACTGGAAAGCCTGGAAAAAATTGAAAAGGAACAGAGCAAACAAGCAGGTAAATGTTATTGCTGCTTTTTGGGGGGTGTAGATTTGGGTTAGTTACCTAAGGTAATTGAAAATATATGTTGAAATAGTGGGTATAAAGCAATTGAATGTGAAGCCTGGGGAGTTTGAATTGGGGAGGGCATTTATGTGGGGGGAATTAGGCTGCAGATCTGTATTGATGAGTGGGAATTGTTTACACCCTATGGACATTAATATCCCTGGACAGACTTGTCCTTCTCATCCCCAGTAGAGATGAAGAATGATAAGACAGAAGAGGAGCAGACCACCAGCTCCATGAAGAAAGATGAGACTAATGTGAAGATGGAGTCCGAGGGGGGTGCGGAGGATTCTGCTGAGGAGGGGGACCTACTGGATGATGATGATAATGAAGATCGGGGGGATGACCAGGTGAAAACCACGGGAAAGGAAAGAAAAAGGTGGTGGAGGGGGGATCAGGGACACATGGAGTGCTTCTAACTCCATCCTATTTGTGTCTGTTTCTCACAGCTGGAGTTGATCAAGGATGATGAAAAAGAGGCTGAGGAAGGAGAGGATGACAGAGACAGCGCCAATGGCGAGGATGACTCTTAAGCACATAGTGGGGTTTAGAAATGTCCCATTCTTTCTTTATCTAGGCGCTTGTCTAAGATCAAAATTTTCACCAGATCCTCTCCCTAGTACCTTCAGCACATGCTCACTGTTCTCCCCATCTCGTCCTTCCCATGTTCATTAATTCATATTGCCCTGCGCCTAGTCCCATTTTCACTTCCTTTGATGCTCCTAGTAGTTAAGTCTTAACCCTGTAATTTTTGCTTTTAATTTTGATACCTCTTTATGACTTAACAATAAAAAGGATGTATGGTTTTTATCAACTGTCTCCAAAATAATCTCTTGTTATGCAGGGAGTACAGTTCTTTTCATTCATATATGAGTTCAGTAGTTGCTTCCCTAACTGCAAAGGCAATCGCATTGGTTGAGTAGCACCTGAGAGCAGCTTTGAGTTAGAGGTATGTGTTTTATACCCCATATAAGAGTGCTATGTGGGGCTGTTCAACACAAATGTAACAATGTATTTTTGTGAATGAGAGTTGGCATGTCAAATGCATCCTCTAGGTAAATAATTAGTGTAATAGTTTTAAGATTTGTTTTCTAAAGTTGATACTGTGGGTTATTTTTGTGAACAGCCTGATGTTTGGGACCTTTTTTTTCTCAAAATAAACACGTCCTTATTAAACCAGGAATTTGGAGGAAAAAAAACCCTGGTTTTTTTATTTTTGTACTTTATATTTATTTCAAATACTTCGTTTCACAGCGGTTTCTACAAAACCTCTAGAATGTACCACATATATTTTTATTTGAGTCATAATCATTGTGCATAACAACACACACTACTCATTATATTTCATTGGGGTGAGTGTTAACATTAAGGAGAAAAGTAACTTTGATGTGGAATGGAGGGTTTTCAAAATTGCTTTTATACCCTAATGGAAAAAAATGGGAAATACGTGAAGCTTTTTCACCAATGCTTTGTGGTCCATTTGTGCCCTTTTTGAGGTATTTGTTGTGGGCTAAATTATTACATCCTTAAAGGAAGAAGTTCAAACATGTCAGGATTTTAGAGAAATTGAAATAACTGGAGAATGAAACTTACTTTCTTCCATTTTTGTCCTTTTAATTACTGTTTATAGCACCAGTTACCTTCTGGATTCTGAGTCTTTGCCTCAGCGTTACTAAAAATAGAAACCTCTTTCCCAGGTAACTGAGAACGTAGTGAGGTGTATACACTTATTTTATTTTCAATTAGTTCAATTCTTATGAACTAATTTTTGTGCACCCCTAACTCAATTACTTGCAATGATTTTTAGGCATAGGGTACTAGTTAACACCCAGACTTCTTAAGGGCAGATTTATTAATCTGCTTCCAGATCTGTGATGCTTGCCGGTCCTGAAAGGTTGAATATGTGTATGTTTTATATTTCCGTTTTTCCTGCAGAACAGGACAAAAACATGGTTAGTTTAGACTATTATCCACACAAGCCTTGATTCCCTGGAAAGTTGCTCTTTTATAACTCACAGCAAAGACATTTATGTCCAAGCTACTATGGGCAGAAAGTTCTATTTATAAAAATCTCCTAAATCATTACATAACAAAGCAGAATAGAAAGAGGCTGAACTATAGGCTGCCCTTGGATCTGAGATCCACAGTATAAAAGTAGCCTTTGTGTTAAGTTGATCAAACATACTACTACCCACCTTGTTTTCTAGTCATGTGATTTTCTATGCTGCACAAACTCACTTTTGACACATAACTCATGACAAAATAAAGTGGATGCTTAGCTGGATTCTTAGAAAGGGTCAGTGTTCTAAAATGCTAATAACATTTAATATATTTCAGAGAGGAAGGGAGAGGGAGAGAGATAGGAAACATCAATAATGAGAGAGAATCATTGATCGGCTGCCTCCTGCATGTAATGGGGATTGAGCCCGCAACCCAGGCATGTGCCAGGAATCGAACCGTGTCCTCCTGGTTCATAGGTAGATGCTAAACCACTGATCACACCGGCAAAGCTAAAACATTTTTACTGGTTTTTAGAAAGGGGGGGGGAGAGAAAAATTGATATGAGAGCTTTACATCAGTTGGCTGTCTCTTGCATACCCCCTACCTGAGATCAAGCTCTCAACCTAGGCATGTGCAATCCCCCCAGTGCACCGGATGATGCCCAACCAACTGAGCCACACTGGCCAAAGGGAAAGTGTCTATTTTCTTCATTTTTTAAAAAAAATTTGATTTCAGAGAGAGGAAGGGGGAGAGAGAAACATCAATGATGAGAATCATTGATTGCCTGCCTCCTGCACGCCCCGCACTGGGGATCAAGACCACAACCTAGGCATATGCCCTTGATTGGCATCGACCCCGGGACCCTTCAGTCCGCAGGCCGACGCTCTATCCACTGAGCCAAGCCGGTTCGGCGGCTCTTTTTTAATAGCTAGAGAAATGATCATCCACTCTTAGAAAATCTGCACACACAGGGTTATTGACAAAAGATGTGTCTAGGTTGTCTTCTGGGGGAAGAATCACTTTACACTCTTGTTCTCAGGCTACTGTGAATTAAATGCCTTCATAGTTGAAAAGAGGTTTCCCAGTAGATTTCAGTTCAAATGTTACCTTAACATCCGAAACCTGTAAAGTTTATAAGATTAGTGCTAGTCAGTGCAGGTTCTTAAACCTCTTACAGAGGAAACTAGGTGTAACAGAAAAGAAAATGCAAACAGGAACAGCAAGGTATGGTAAATTGGAAAGGAATAAACGGAAGTCAAATGAGGACTGAGAATGTAATGGAAGGAGTAGAAGGAAATGCGCTATCATTTCAGCCATCCAGTAATCATAAAATGTCAAAGGAATCTATTGGACAATTTAGCAGCGAAGCCCAGGGGTATGACGGAAAGTAAAACAACAGATGACAAATTAAACTTTACAAGTACTAGTATTTAGGTAATGTTACAGAAATACTTGGGGAATAGGGAATAGCTATATGTTTAATGAGATCAGTTGAAAGATGTACTTTATTCTGAGAATATGTGGCTAACCAGTGATGCACTAATTTTCAGGCGAGAACCAGCAAGCATCATTATTGACTGTGGCCTAGGGAAATGAAGGACTTAGCCACATAAACATTCCTACTGACCTTTCTATTTAAGAGAAATTAAACTATACCAGTGATTTTCAACCTTTTTCATCTCATGACACACGTGAACTAATTAAAATCCTGTGGCACACCAAAAAAGTTTGTTTTGTTTTTTTGCTGATCTGACAAAAAAAAAAAAATAGTTGAAAAGAGGATTCCCAGTAGATTTCAGTTCATTCACACCAGACAGCTGTTGTATTGGCTGTTGTCATGTTTTAATTTGACAGTCTTAGGGAAAAGAGATCAGAATTCCTGACTAAATAGTCAGGTATTACATATTTTAAGAGTTCTTGTGGCACACCAGTTGAAAATCCCTGAAATACACCAATGTCAAATGGGGTTTGAATTTCTGGACCCTAGTTCAGATCACCTTGACGTAGAAAATGCATTTAAGTTCAAAGAAAAAGCACCTTGGTAACTGGAGGAAACCAATTAACAGTAAAACAACTATGATAGAAATGAGGGTAACCAGTAAATGAGTTATATGTAATATGCAGAGTATGGGCAATTAAGTAACTTTAGAAGTACTTCACAGGCTTTATCAATGCTGTACTTCACAGAGAACAGATATCATTTATACTGAGGTGGTTTTGACTTAATATGGGCACTATGTTGGAGAATTTTTAGTATTTATTAGAAAGAGTTTGGCATAAATTAAAAATTTGGTCAGTTAAACTAGAGAGAAAGCTGGATATGGATTTATACCTGACTGTGATGAGAGAATTCCAGATGTTTACAGAGGAGACTGACTAAATTAGGGATGTTGCAAAGTTCCAAGTTTGGATTTTTGATAAATTAATCCTATTGAAGTGAAGTAAACCAAGGAAAAGGTCTGAAAACAGTATGTGGTTGTATTAGTGACTTTGTTAATGAAAAAATATTTTTAGCCCCAATTATGAAAAGTAGGACCTGTTTGGAGAGTGGTGAAGTTAGCCCTCTTGTGAACTAGGTGAGACACTTCCCCCACAGCTTAAATTAGAGGTGCAGACCGTAATAGGAAGAGAGAAGGAATAGTATAATGGGGTGAATGCCAACAAAGGGTAGTTCATAGGAAGGTGTTGAAGCCCAAGATGAATGGGGATAAGAAGGCATGGTGCTCTCTGTTCCAGTCCTGAACATGCTAGATTACTTTTTTAAGGTCACACAGGAATAAAAGAGTTTGAGGGACAAAAGATGTTCTGAAGTCTGACAAATTTCCTTATGCAAAAAGAACTTACATGCCTTTCACAAACCTAAAAATGTTGTGATTAGAATGGTTATTAGTACTTTATCAAATTAGTTGTCTAGTGGTTCTCAACCTTGGTTGTGCATTAAGATTACCTAGGGAGCCGAAACCGGTTTGGCTCAGTGGATAGAGCGTCGGCCTGCGGACTCAAGGATCCCGGGTTCGATTCCGGTCAAGGGCATGTACCTCGGTTGCGGGCACATCCCCAGTTGGGGGGGTGGAGGAGGCAGCTGATTGATGTTTCTCTCTCATCGATGTTTCTGACTCTCTATTTCTCTCCCTTCCTCTCTGTAAAAAATCAATAAAAAATATATTAAAAAAAAAAAAAGATTACCTAGGGAGCTTTAGAATCCTGATTTCCCAGGTGTGTACTCCAGATATTAAATTTCGGTCATTGGGACTTGGGCATCATTTTTCAATTGGTGTGTGTGTGTGTGTGTGTGTGTGTGTGTGTGTGTGTGTGTGAAATGTTAAGAATATACCTGCATTAAAATCAGGCCAAAGTATAGGAAACACGTAAGGAGGTATGTGGGTAGGGGTAAAGGTGAGAGAAAAGCTAGGGTTGAAGGAGAGACAAAAATCCTGAGGTTGTAGGAAAGCATGTTAAAGCCCAACTTGATTGGCCCACCACTCTTAAAGCTACTGCACTGTCCAGTAGAATTTTCTGTGATGATGGAATTGTTTCAGAATGCATTGACCAATAGTAGCCCTGTGGCTAGTGTGACAGAAATTTTTAAAGTATTTTTATTTTAAAGTTGTTATTAGATAACATGCTAGAGAAGGCTGATTACTAATTCAAAGTTCTATGAACAAATGTGTCCAACATTTTATATGCTGAGTTCATTGAAAATAACATCCTTCTAGGACCTACACCCAAACATTGAAAAGATGTTCCTAATGTGAAAACCTCTACAATTGCAGACCTATTCCATGTAGGTCACACTTTGATTTAGCAATGCCTCTTGCAGTGTACAGTTGTTTCTTTTAAGTGGGAACCCATCTTTTAGTTAAGTGCCGGACGCCCAAGGCAGTTACCACTATTATAGAATGTTTTATATGCATTGTGCTAGAGTGGCTCATAGACCTAACAGCTGCAAAAGTACATTGAAAATTGCCTGGCTAAGAGCTGAAATGCTGTTTTATGCAACATGATTGGGCTTTAGAAATATAGCAAAAATTCAGAGATTATACTTCCACCCATTTTCCTTAGCTCTTCCTGGATCACCCAGAACTCCTATTTTAAACCATTTATTCTACCTCAAACAACAAGCTTTCCAAATACCTTGTAAAAATTCCTCTTTGTCAGGACAGTACTTGATTACACAGCTTTGGCCCTGTACCTTGATGCCTTCATGGCCCATTAGAAACACCTGGCAGTGTAATTGCAAGAATTCCCTAAAAAAGACTGGTCTTTACACCAAAAGGGTTAATTAATGTGAAAGGGGTTCAGTGACACAGATTGAGTCACCTTTGCAGACCCACAGAAGCCACAATAATGCATTTCTGGTGTGAATTGGGGACATTAGTCGGAGAGAAAGGTGAGCCTGAAGATCTATTTGTTCAATGACTCAGAAAGTCTCACTCATTTCCAGATAGCTTGGTCCATAGTTTACTTTTTCCTCCCAGACTTCAAAATCTTAAAGTTTGATGGCTATTTTTTGGCCTCTTGTCTGCTTGCCCTAAAGAATATTTGATACAGACAGGTATGAGATACTTAAAACGCCCCTCTTGGCCGTGCTGTGGGAAATTGCCCCTACTAGAGGGCTTGTAGTGGGGCCAGGTGGTCTAAGTAGCCACCCAGAGCCAACTGCCAACCCAACCTCATCCACAATATTTCTCTCCCTAGGAACCAGCCAAACCTGCCCCTCTCCCAGAACTTGATATGAGCTCTCCACAAAAGCTATTTAATACAGCTAGGTCATTCCCAAATTCCCAGAAGCCATTGGGGTTTAGTTGCCAGAAAGTTGCCTATGTAACTGCTGGGAGTGCTGTGGTGGTCTGTCCTTGCCAGGTCCCCAATCCTGCAGTGATAGCGAATTTTCAACTCTCAGCCTTGGGCAGAGGGAAAAGCAGCCCTTAGTAGAGTCTCCTCCCTCCGGGGAAGTAGCCACATCCTCATTCTCACTGTTCCATACAGCCTTGGTGTTTGCTGTTAGTGTTTTCATTCCCTCCTACAATACTGATCCATTCTTCTGGCAGGCCCGGCAACTACCTGGGTACATAACCTGGGTCCTACTCAGCCTGTGGACCAAACAGATGGCACCACTCCTGAAGTTCATGCTGACTTGCCCTCTTAAGCATTCACCTGAGTGTAAGAATATTAATGCAGAGTCCCTCACTTCACCAAGGAGTTCGTAGTCTTCATGTAAATGACTCAAAGGTTCATTTTTCCTAGATCTCTACAGACCTTGGAAAGCGCTATTCTACCTTTGGTGCATCTGCGGAATCCTGTTTTAACTTTCCCCACCAAGATGGCAGTTTCCTGCCTGTCCTCTGTACATTTGTTTTTCATTTTGTCTTTACAATGCCCTTTGGGTGTTTTTTCTCCTTACTGTTGATTCCATAGCCATGTCCCCTGCCCCCATTTTGGCAATTTTATTGCAATTTTAAATTCTATTCTTCACTAGTTTTGTAATTAGCTTCAGAATATCCCAGACACAATTCACTAGCAATGTGACTACACACCTTTTTTTCTAAGAAGAAATGTGCTAGTGAAAAAAGACAACCAATGTTAGCAAAATGCATTCTCCTGTATCTAGCTGATATAAACACGAATATATTTGCTCAGATCAGAAGTAAAGATGACATACCGTATTGTATAGCTATGGTTAAAGTTCATGTGCCTCCTAAATATCTGTTCAACTGTTCTATTTCTCTCCATCTTGACTGCCACCATCCCAGTCCAAGCTACCACCATCTTGCTCCTGGCTTACTGCAATAGCTTCCTGTATACTCACATCCACTGTGATCCTTTTCCAGTCACTTCCACAGCAGCCATAGTGATCTTTTCAAAGTACATATAATCATGGCACTTTTCCACTTAAAAACCTTCTGACTTTACTTGCCCTTTAGAGTTGAGCTCATGTTGCTTCTTCCAGGAAGCCTACCTTGCCTTTCTTAAGTAGGTCAATAGGCTATCATAGAACCAGGAATCTTCTTGGTAGCATTAATTACGGTCACACTCATCAATTTGTATAATTATTTGATATGTTTTTCTTCGAGTAGAACACAGTGAGTAGGAACCACATCTATTACTGTTCACCAATATATATATATATCCCAAGTGCTTAACAGTGTCTAGGACATAAATATATGTTGAATGAATGGGAAAGGGAAAGGAAGACATAGGGGAAGGTTAGTCCTGGGTGAGGCATTCTTGGAAATAGGCATCAGGAATGCCAAGCAAGTCTGAAGGAGCAAACAAAAATACACCTGAAGGGAAAGGGAAAAAACACCTGAAGGAGTGTTGTAATATCTTGTGCCCAACAAGGGGGTGCATTCCTACAGGTGAATTTTGTGGCCCTCTTTCACTATAATGTAATTTCACAATCCTCTCCCAATGTCAGCCTCCAACAAATCCCTCAATAACCTGTGTCTGATGCCAAGGGTGAGAGAGGAAGGGCATTATCCAGAAAAGTTGGATGTGCTCATTGCAATTCACCTTGTCTTTCAATACCTTTAAGTCCAATTTCCCTTAAAAGCCCACTCCCCTAAATGAGCAGCTCTCTTATCAACCCTCGCATATCTTTTTTTTTTTAAATATTTTATTGATTTTTTACAGAGAGGAAGGGAGAGAGATAGAGAGTCAGAAACATCGATCAGCTGCCTCCTGCACACCTCCCATTGGGGATGTGCCCGCAACCAAGGTACATGCCCTTGACCAGAATCGAACCTGGGACCTTTCAGTCTGCAGGCCGACGCTCTATCCACTGAGCCAAACCGGCTTCGGGTACCCTCGCATATCTTAATTTTTAAAATTAAAGTATACATATAATAAAATGCATATGCTTTAAGCATACAGTGTCACGAAGATTTACAAAGTGAACATGCTTGTTTAAACACCATCCTGCTCAGGATAAGTTGTTACTTCACTGGGAACCCCTCCTCTGACTTGCATCACCATAATAGGTTTTGGCTGAGTTATGTATAGATGGCATAGTATTTTATTGTTGGAAGTTTGGGCTTCCCTTGAGAGAGAGTTTATCTGGGGGATGATTCCAGGAAACAAGTGAAGTGAGAAGAGTCAGATAGTTAACACGTTAAGCGCCAAGCCTGTTTTGTATTCCTTTCTGTTTAGCCCGCAATATCCAGTTTCACCAATATGCTGACGGCACCAGTGACTGACCGGTCCAGACGGAAAGTATAGTGTCAGTCACCGGTGACCGACATGGCGCTTAATGTGTTAAGGAAGAAAAACCAATATAAGGGTTTGTTCTTGAGATTGGATACATACTGCTTATTTATCTACTGGCTCCTGTTCCCCGTTGACTAAGGGATGCCACAAGGAGGTTAACTTCCCTGCAATTCTGAGCTGTAACTGATCTTAGATTCCAGCATCATTGAAAGACATTTAGATTGTTTTCAGTTTGGGATAATACTTTTGTGAACATTCTTGTACATGGCTTTTAGTTATGAGAACACGTGTACACATTTCTTTTATATAAACAGATGGAATTGTTGGGTATTTGTATATTGAAGTTTAATAGATATTGCCAAACATTATCTAAAAGTGATTGTACTAGTGTATATTTTCACTAGCTGTAAATGAAATTTTAAGTTGCTCCACATCCTTCCCAGCATTTGGTATTGTCAGTCTTTTTTTTTTTTTAAATATATTTTATTGATTTTTTACAGCGAGGAAGGGAGAGAGATAGAGAGTTAGAAACAGCGATGAGAGAGAAACATCAATCAGCTGCCTCCTGCACATCTCCTACTGGGGATGTGCCCGCAACCCAGGTACATGCCCTTGACTGGAATCGAACCTGGGACCTTTCAGTCCACAGGCCGACGCTCTATCCACTGAGCCAAACCGGTTTCGGCTATTGTCAGTCTTTTTAATTTTAGGTTTTTTAATGGGTATGCAGTGGTATCTCATTTTGTGTTTATTTCCTTTTGGGTAAACTTTTTATTGCAGCATAATTTAGATACAGAAAAGTACATAAATCATGTGTACTGCTGTTACTTTTCATACACTGAACACACAACAGCAAGAAATCAAGAATTGGAAGATCAGCAGCACTACCGAAGTCCCATGCATGTGTGCCCTCTTCCCACCACTATACCACCATACCAACAACATCTACTATCCTGATATTGTAGATTCGTCTGGCCTGCTTTTGAACTTCAAATAAATAAGATAATATGTAGGGATTTTTTTTGTTTAGCTTCTTTGATTCAACATTATGTCAATTCATATTGGTTGCATGTTGTAGTTTGTTCATTCATACTGTTGTATAGTATTACAGTGTATAAATATACTGCAGTTTATCCTATGAACAGGCATTTCAACTTTCCAATTTTGACTATTATGAATAAAGCTGCTATGAACATTCTGGAGCACGTCTTTTTTTGAACATATGTATTTATTTCTGCTGGCTATAAAACTAAGAATGATGCCCTGGCCAGTGTGCTTCAGTTGGTTGAGCATCATCCAATGCACCGCAAGGTCACTGGTTCAATTTCCAGTCAGGGCACATGCCCAGGTTGAGAGCCTGACCCCTGATCGATGATCCCAGACCAGGGTGCATGTGGGAGGCAGTCAATCAGTGTTTCTCTCTCTAAAATCAATAAACATTAAAAAAAAATCCAAGTGAAATTACTGGGATATAGATTATTACCCCACACCACTGTCTAACTGCTGTTTTTTTCTCAATTTTAGCCATTCTAGTAGTGATGTCACATTAGAAAAAAAATCTTTGCTTTTTAAAAAATAAGTGTTTAATGTTGGAATAATGTTAGATTTACAGTAAAGTTGCAAAGACAGTAGAGAGAGCTCCTTGCATACCCATTGTTCAGTTTCCCCTAATGTTAACGTTTTAAAACTATCACGATACACTTGTCAATACTGAGAAACCAGCTCTGGCAGGGTAGCTAAGTTGGTTAGAGCATCATCCCGATACACCAAGGTTGCAGATTTGATTCCTGGTCAGGACATGTACAAGAATCAATCAATGAATACATATAATTAAGTGGAATAATCTCTCACTTGCTGGCTCTCGTTCTAAAATCAATTTAAACCCTCACCCCCAGAAAGCCTGAGAAACCAACACTGGTACATTACTATTAAACTGCAGACCTTACTTAGATTTCACCAGTTTTTACCTGTGTTTGTAGTTCTGCACAATCTTATCCATGTATAAATTCATGTGACCACCACCACAATGAATATATAGAACTGTTCCATTGCCACAAAGGACCCTTTGTACTATTTACTATCACACCACATTCTCCATCCTCCCACTGCTCTTCACTATAATTTTGCCATTTCAAGAAGTTTACAAATGGCATCATATAGTATGTAACCTTGAATTCCATTCAAGTTGTTACATGTGTCAATGTTTGTTCCTTTTTATTGTACCAGTTTGTTTACCCATTCATCTGTTGAAAGACATTTTTGATGTTTCCAGTTTGGGGCTATTACAAATAAAGCTGCTATGAATATTTCTGTATCAGTTTTTATAAGCTTAAGTTTTCATTTCTCTGGATGTGGTGACTGGGTGTGGTTACCTGTGATTGTGTTGACGGGTAAGTAGTATACTACTATTAAGTATATGGTTAGTTTTGTAAGAAACTGCCAAACTGTTTCCAAGTTGCTCAAATTATTTTACATTCCCACCAACAGTGTATAAGAAATCCCTTTCTCCACATTCTTGCCAGGATTTAGGATTGTCACTATTTTTTTAAATATATATTTTATTGAATTTTTTTACAGAGAGGAAAGGAGAGGGATAGAGAGTTAGAAACATCAAAGAGAGAGAAACATCGATCAGCTGCCTCCTGCACACCCCCTACTGGGGATGTGCCCACAACCAAGGTACATGCCCTTGACTGGAATCGAACCTGGGACCCTTGAGTCCGCAGGCCGACGCTCTATCCATTGAGCCAAACCAGTTAGGGCGATTGTTATTTTTTAAAAATATATATTTTTATTCATTTCAGAGGGGGAGGGACAGGGAGAGGGAAACATCAATGATAAGAGAGAATCATTGGCTGGCTGCCTCCTGCATGCCCCATACCTGGGATCAAGCCGCAACCCAGACATATGCCCTCACTAAGAATTGAACCGTGATCTCCTGGTTCATAGGTTGATGCTCAATCACCGGGCCATGCTGGCTGAGCTCACTAGTTCTTATTTTCATTTTTCTTATACGTATGTAGTGGTTTTTGTTTTGTTTATAGTTTTTGTTTGCATTTCCCTAATGGCTAATGATATTGGCCATCTCTTTATGTGCTTTTCTGCCATCCATATATTCTCTTTGGTGAAATGTCTGCTCATGCCTTTTTTCCATTTTTTTATTAGAATCTTTTTAAATTGTTGAACTTTGAGAGTTCTTTATATATTCTAGACACAGGTTCTTTGTCAGATGGTTTGCAAATGTTTTCTCCTAGTCATTTTATTCTTAACAGAGCCTTTTGTAGAGCAAAAGTTTTTAATTTTGATGATGGCCAATTTATCAATTTTTTTAGTTTATGGATTATGCTTTCAGTTTCATTTCTAAGAACTCTTCACCAAGCTCTAGGTCCTCACAATTTTCTCCTGTATTTTTTTATATAAGATTTCAGGTTTAGACTGAGTTTTTGTTTTGTTTTGTTTTTGACATATGGTTGTTCAATTGCTGGAAAGGCTAACCTTCCACTGAATGGCTTTGACATTTTTGTCAAAAATCAATTGAGCATACTTGTATGGGCTATTTCTAGGTTCTCTATCTTGTTCCATTAATCAATGTATTTATCCATCTGTCCATACCATGCTTTTGTTAGCTGTACTTGTATTAAAAAAATCTTAAAATTGGGTAAAATAATTCCTTTCACTTTATTTTTTATTTTTTCAAACTTATTTCAATTACATATACATATGCATTTTAGAGTTTTCTTGTCTATATGTAAAACAATCTTATTCAGTTATGTTAAATCTATAAATTACTGTGAGGAGAATTGACATGTTTACCATGCTGTATCCTTTAGCCCATGAACATTGGTGTCTTCCCATTTCTTTTAGACCAGTGATTCCCAAAGTGGGTGCTACCGCCCCCCGGTGGGCGCTGCAGCGATCCAAGGTGGTGGTGATGGCCACAGGTGCATTTGGGGGCGATGAGTAACTGCTATTAAAATTTTTAAAAAATTAATTTCCAGGGGCTGGGTAATATTTTTTCTGGGAAGGGGGTGGTAGGCCAAATAAGTTTGGGAACCACTGTTTTAGACTATTATTTATTTCATCAGTGTTTTGTAGTTTTGAGCATACAGATTCTGCACAGTTTTTCTAGATTTACACCTAAATATTTAGGAGCAATCTCGAATGGTATTGTGTTCTAATTTCAGTTTTTACATAGTCATATTTAGTACATCCTATCTAATAATAAACAAACATGGTAATTAACCATACCTCTACTACGCTTCCCATTGGCTAATCAGGGTGATATGCAAATTAACTGCCAACAAAGATGGTGGCCGGCAGCCAGGCAGCTGAAGCGAACAGGAGGCTTGCTTGCTCCAGGGATGGAGGAAGCCAAGGTTCCCCGCCTGCC